CAACCCAAAATGACTAAGACACTTTCTTTTTATTCTTTTTAGCTGTTGCATACTATTCCACAGTATCAGTATACCTATAGTTACTTATTTAGGTGGTTTTAATTTTTCACCATAATCAACCCCTGCTTGATGAAGAGTCTTGAAAAATCTTTCATAGAGTGAATTCTTCTAAGTAAAAAATGCAATTCCATTCACCTTAATGGAAAAAATGTTTATATTTTTCTAAGCCTCCAAATCATATCCATTTGTCCTACAACATCAAATACCATTAAAATGGACACAATTATTTCTATAGTTAACATCTCGTAACATAACTCAACCAGACATTTTCTCATTAACTGCCCTATAATATGGCTGTTTCCATCCTCTCATTCAGTATTCACAGATCATACACTTAAGACTTTGATGTATTTGTTCATTCAGCAAATAATTACTGAGCACCTACTAGGTGCCAAGCAACAGCATTGGGTCCTGGCAATATGGTAACAGACAAAAAAATCTGTCTTGCGGAATTTACATTCTAGTGCAAGAGATAGATAATAAACAAGTAAGATACAAAGGATGTTAGCTATGATACATCCTGAGGAGAAAAAAACTGCAGGGAAAGGGAATATGAAATATTGGGAAGGTTGCAATTTGAACTGGAGAGACCTCACCAAGAAGGTGGCTTTTGAATAAAGACCTGGAAGAAGTGAGGGAGGGAGCTGTGAGTCTGCCGGAAACAAAAGTATCCCACACATCTGTGACGGAGATGCCCTCCAGGACCAAATAATTCTTTTTGACGGAAATGGCCAAAGTCTTTCTGTCCGGCAGTCCATCATTTGGTTTCTTGTCCTTTATCACATTTCTTAGCTGTGGGACTTTTTTTTTTTTTTGCAAAGATAGCAGGCTAGAGCTTTCCTGCAGAAGTGTCAAAGAAGGCAATCGTTGTTTTCAATGAGAAACGGATCATTCAACATGAGGTTTATAACATGAGGGAGAATGGGATGTATAGGTTGCCCACCTTCTCTTGGGATCAGAGGCATCAGCAGGAAAAATGTGGTTAGGCTTCTGACAGGGAGATTTGTGGAACAATTTATCTCTGCCTGAAGCCACAGGATAGGAAGAGGAGAGCCCAGGTATTAGCTGGAGAAGGACTCAACCCAAGGGAAAATGTCCTTTTTATGACCAGGTATCTGCTTGTCCGTGGGCTCTGTCCAGTATTTTATATACTGCCTGGACATAAATCCTAGCTCTTCCAATTATTCGGTGGATAAGCATAGAGATTATTGAACCTCTCTGAGCTACATTTTTTCACCTGTAAAATGGGTATAATAATAGTAGCTATCTCATAAGATTGACAGTGGGGATTAACTGAGATCACAGAGGTAGAGTGTCTGGAACATAGTAAGTACTCAGTAAATAAGAATGCCACTACCATCACCGTCATCATTATTTGGGTTTCATAGGGAACAGCATCAAGGTCAGAGGCAAGAAGGCATTATTCAGTACATCTTTAAGATATTTATTAGTATCTCACAGCACCTGGTACTGAAGATTCAGCTAAACGGCTGCCTAGATAAGTCGGTAATCTTCAAGACAGGGAGAACATAAAAAAAAATCCCTATGCTCCAGGCAGGTGGTAGAGGGTTAAGGATTTTCAGGAAGGGTGGTGATTTACAAATGGGTTTCCCTGGCACCAGGGAAGGGGGCGGGGGAGGAGGAGGAAATGGAGCCATTTTAGGCGTATCAAAGGCACCTGTGAGACAGGAGGCTGAGTTGATGGCCAGGAAGCTGCTTGATGTAAATGTCTGTGAAGAGGTGATGTGGCCAGCCTGGGGTGAGAATCATCCAGGGGTGACCTTGCATGGCTTCATTCTGTGTCTCTTTAGTCCCACTTTGTTCTCAGTTGCATGGAAACAACCAAAGCTGACAACCAAATCTTTCAGCTACAAATCCACCTCACCGCGTAGAGAGCTAAACATGTAAGTGTGTGGATGTCTCTAAAAATAACACATGACGTTTCTTTTTTGTTTGGAGGCTGTGTGTAGTACTTTAAAATACGCTGGCTAGTCAGGTCCAACTGCCCTGGGTTTGAATCCTGGCTCTGTTTCACTAGTTGTGTAACGTTGGATGAATTCTAGAATTTCTCTGGGTCCCAGCGTTCTCATTCGGGCCGTGGAGATTGTAATAATATCTACCCAGTAGTGTAATTATGGAGATGAAATGGGACAATGCTCATAAAATACTCAGCACAGTGTCCGGCACATAGTAAATACATATTAATTATTATTATTGAAATCTTTTGGATGGATTGTTTTCTGAGGAGATCAACGGGGAAAGGGTAGTATCATCAGAAAGAAAGGGGAAGGGAAGAAAAGCTGTAGAAAAGAGAAGCAGGACTGTAAAGGCTGATCCAGGAAGAGAGGCACTTATGAGCTGTCAAAAAAAAAACAAAAAAATCCTGAGAGAGAAAAAGGATAACATGGCAGGGACTCAAAGGCAGAGAGAGGCTTAGCTTTGCTTTTTGCCAGGGTTCCATCCATCTGGTCTTGGCTTCTCTGCTGGCTTTTTCCTCCAAATGATAGCTCCAGAAGCCCAGCGGTGAAACCCAGGGCAGGGAGATAGATCATCTCTGAATCACCCCAAATTCTGCACTCAGGGGAGGCATATAAAAAATGTACATATTATTCTTTTGCAGTATAGAATTCCCCTGAGACTAATAGAAGAGACAGGCCTGTCAAGTGAGTCAGCAGTGACCACAGGCAGACATAATCCCATTGCTTTTTGGCTGACAACTCATGCAGAGGGAAATATTCTCTGATCCAGACAAAGGTAAATGTGGCTTAAATCCCCACACAAAATTCTAACCGTAATTCTCTTCTATCCCCAGTCGATGATGACCCCAGATGCCAGAAATATCAGAAACACCATCTCTGCATTTCTTACTGTGGGGTTGTAATAATTTAGTCATTGCTAAAGGTAAGATTCTCAAAGGGTAGGATAACTCATTATTTTCAGATCTAAGCAAAAAAAAAGAAAAAAAGAACAGAGTGATGTGTTTCCTCAGATTTGTTTAATAGCGGGTATCATAGCACAGACTATTACGGGGGAACATACAGAAAATGAGCACAAACCTGAATAAGTTATGAGCTATCTAGAAGAACAAAACACATGGTGAACCACATGGTTTTTTTTTTTTCTTTTATGTGAATGAAGGGTGGCTGGTCTGGATCCACTCCTATGGCTTTTTGAATTCTAATCAATTATAAAAACAAGGCAAAATTGCAGTTCTAAAACAGATTGTCAGTATGTCCTCCTCTGATGTGCCTTCACAAACACAGTCATTTAAGAAACCAGGTTGAAGTCTGGATCTGAGTTATCAGAATGTAGGCCATGCTTAAGAGGAAGATCAAAGGGCAATTTTCACATTACAAAAATTAGCTTAATGCTGAAGAATAATTGCTCTTGTAAAATGAAACATGATTGAAATCATGTATTATGATCCACCCCATCTGTTTAGCATACACTTTATCTATCTATCATCTATCTATATCTATCTATCATCTCTATCCATCTATCATCTATCATCTCTCTCTCTATATATATATATTACATATATTATATATTTTTTAGGAAAGAAGAGAAATATGTTTATTTTACATTTTTGCTAAATTACTTTCCTAAGACGTAATTCCAAGACCTCTGGGATGCCTTTGATTGAAATCCACCTGTTTTTGTTTCTAACTTAAGTGCAGCGTGGCCAGCCTGTGTAGAAGGTGACTTTCCCCGATAGGTGAGCTCCTGGGTCAGCTGACGTCTACAAAGCACAGAAAAGCTCTCCTTTCTGCATTCAGACTTCAACCCTATATTTAGCACTTTCCTTTAGCCCACCCAAAGCCGATGCTTCTCCATCCCCTCCGAGTTCTGCTGCTAAGGTCCCTGGTTCCTTAGCTGGTGTTGCTGAGGCTCCTGCCACCGCCTCAGCTCAGCTGGTCACACTACTCATTTAATCATGAGCTTGCAGTGCAGCCCAGTGTGAGACCCAGAGAGAAGACAGGATTCTGTTCTCAGTGGGATAGAATATTTAAGCTTAGGCCTCTGCTTTAAGATTTGGGACTCAATTTTACCCTTTAGAGCCGTATGTATCAATACCCCAAGGCAATTTTTTTCTGGGATGCATTTTGCTTTGAATTGGAAATATGCTTTTGATGTTTTTTTATTTAATAAGGCACAGGCCCAGGACTACATTCATTATTTAGACTAGAACTTATTTTGCACTTGATGTAAGGAAAAAAGCTGCTACACTTGTTCAGGGTAATTGCATAGAGTGAAATGAAACCAATTTATGTAAAGGATTATTGAAGGAATACAAAACTTCCATAGTAAGCCTGCTAAATCATTCATTCAGTAAGTGATTGACATTTGCCCAGATTGGGATCGTGGGCTTTGCTTGGTTTTAAAGGAAAGCAAAGAAGCAATTATTTAGAAGTGAACATGAAAACCAGCATTGAAAGAGAGCGATCCTGGAGGGTGGATATATTTTAAGTGATTATTCTCTCTTAAATAATGTAATTCACAGACTATTGGGCTCGGCCCCAGTAATCATCTCTCAGCCTGTTTCTACTTGGCAACCTTTGATATTCTATCATTAAAACATATGTAAATGCAACGTAAATAATGTCAACTACATTTTTAAAGGATAATTATCTCTTATTCTTCTACAGATTCCTATTTCATTTTATGATTAAAAATGTTGCTATAAACTAAATGGGTGCAGTTGGGCTTAAAGTCTATTTCTGGGAATCCAGCTCTTGAAACTACTCATTCCTGTTACATTTCCAGTTAATATCTATAAATCCATCCGACACTAAAAAATCTGATGTGAAGAAATTGTAAATCTAAGTCCTTTCCTCTACTCTAGACATAATACGTCCAAAATTTACAAAGAGGTAAATGCAACATTTTCATCAGTTAATTGTTCTCTAGACTTAATATCAGGAACATTTCAGGCAATCAAGGAGAGGAAAAAAGAGCATCTTTAATTGATTCCTCAGAGAATTCTTTTCCAGATTGTAAATCATTGTTCTTATGTTTTCTATTTGGTTGTTTCAGGAGCTACACAAATGAAATACAGGATGCAGATGAATAAAATGCTAACAAGATACAGGGCAATATTAAAATGGTCCCACTTTACCTGGATCGGATAACGACAGTCTACTCCATCAGAGGAATAAAAGCAAATGTCAAGGAAGGATTTTTACCCTTACAAAAGTACATGCTTCATTTGCCTTGGAGAGAGCCATGGGGCAAGATATCTTGTGATGAGGCTTGTAGGGATGCAGAAGGGGCTCTGAAATAGGAGCTGGATATGAACCCCCACCCGGAATGAACGAATGAACTTAGCGAGCTCATGAGAAGCACCCACTGTCAGTGCCTCTCTTGGTTTCAGAGGCTCCTCGACAGCCTCTCATGGATCAATATACCAGTCAGTCAACCCACACATCAGTATTTTCTGCCCTTTAGAATTAATGATGGGATTTACCATCAGTGAGTGTGATCTGTGAATTTATAGAATATCTTGCCTCAGATTGAAAGATGTAGTCGGGGGGTCTGCTGTGTTAAGATCCCTTTAATTTTCTATTTGAATGTCTCCAAGCTTTGTAATTATGCGATCATGTACTTATGGTCATAATGAGTCAAGTTTAAACTGGATTCTCTTCAGTACCCCTTTTTCATATATATTTTCACCCCATATATAAAGTTTGGGGTCAAAAAGTCCAGGGCGTGTTGAAAAATACAATAATACATTGAAGGGCAGAACATTAAAAAAAAAAAACAAAACCACTAGTTTACCTTGCTCTTCAAATTTTTTAAGGTTTAGAAAATTTATTAGTATTTTTAAGCATTTTAAGAATTATTCTAAACCATCTTCTGGAGTATTTGTCTAGGGGCACCTGGCTGGCTCAGTTGGTAGAGCGTACAACTCTTGATAGCAGGGTTGTGAGTTTGAGCCCCCCGTTGGGTGTAGAGATTACTTAGAATGACTACTGTCTTTACTGGGTTGAGATCATGTTCCTTTATTGTGAGCACGCACTAGAAGCTCGATGAAAGCTTCTTTTCAGAATGAGTTACTATAAAGAAATACTTACGTTTCTCTTTTACCATAATAGGTACTATCTATAAGTAGTGTTATCTTTGCCTATGATATTTATATAACAAAACCAAGTTCAGTATAAGAATTGACTTAAAGTAATACTATAAAGAATGGGAACTTAAAGGTGGGAAATTAAAGGATTAAAAAAAAGTCTCGGATCTGCCCATGAATTTCTAAATATAGCATGCTTGGCCAGGAAAATGGAAATGAATATTGGTGAATGAACTTCAAATGAAAGGCAATTATCAGTATAAAGCCATGTCAATTTAAATTAACATAAAGAAAACACAACTATTTGTAAAACCCCCATATACATTAAGAGACAGGATACTCTCTCTCAACTTGCATTCTCCAGACTGTTCGTGCAAAATTGCCTGTAGAGTCCTCCAAGGGGCGTCTGGGGCCAGATGCGTAGAAAACATCCCCGGAAATGGTATTAGCAAAGCAATGTGGCCTGCGCTCCTCTTTAACCAGACGGAGTCTGGCCAGGTTCCGGCTGAGCTTCTGAACAACCCGTCCGGATACGTGAAACCTGCAGCACAGGCAGCAGCAGCTGGAGGGCGTCCTGGATGTACGTGGTGCTGTTGCAGCCCTGGGAGGAGGGAGACACATGCTTGGAGGGCTGCCTTCAGGGTTCAGGCCTGACAATTCTTCCCATCTGATAACGGTCCCTCTCTTCAAACCTCACAGTATTTTATAATACGGTCCCTTTAATGTTGGTGCTTAAAGCAAATGTAAACACATTCCTTCGGGTGGAATGCATTCAGCTCTTCAACAGAGAGAAGACTTCTCTCCGCATGGGGCAAGTCATTTCCATAGACTTGGAGGGTACAGCGATATGTGTGCATGCATGACCCAACATGTCTGGTCGTACCCATCCTTCTCCCAGACCAACCCCACTGTCCTGAACTAACCCAAAAGCACAGTGTGCAGGGAGCTCTAGCGTGTGTTAACCTAGAGGTGAATAAACAAGTATGGGATCTATAAAGGGAAGTGGAGATATTATTGTGCAATTATTCACAGCCAATCCTTGAGGGCTATCCTCCTCCTGTGCATGTTGGTACCTTCTCCTTGGTTTGGGTATTCGATGTTGCCATTCGTGTTCTGTGGTACCCTAACATACAGCAGTGCACAAAGGGGCCATTTAATGTTTCCGGTCACCAAGTCATAAGAAAACTCCCACTGGGGAAATGAATCAACATTTGACCACATATTCTTCACGATCAACATAGTAAGTGAATCTGTGGATGCCTTCTGCGTGGCCGGGAGAGACACTTTCTTGTTCCACAGTCTGCCTCTGACTGCCTGGCTTTCCTCTTAGCTGGGTCCTCCAGAGCTTGCCTCCTTGTCCCTGATGGTTGACCTCACCCCCCTGCGTGGCGGTGTCCTAAATGGTGACACCTGATGCCACCGCTTTGTTACTTTTGTACCTTGGTTGTTTTCCTTAACAGTAAGGCACAATTCGCACAGACATCACTGTAAGTATGTAAGTAGCCTTCCCTGACTTGCATTTGGTAATTTCTAAACTCGGCAATTGACAGCTACTTCAGTGTATGTCAAAAACTGCTGGATATGCATTGCCCGTGTTCAGACTTCACCTGTGAACACCTGTGGTTGCAGCTGGGCGCCCTGGGGCTATAGATGTGCCAATTCCTTATAGTGAGGCCCCTCCTGGAAGGTCTTCCTCCACTAGTCACAGGCGGAACACAGCAAGAATGAGGCCTCCCAGGCCTATTTTCTTCTCTCTTAGGTTACTACCTCTGGCAAGACCACAGCGGTCTGGGGACAGCTTCATAGCAGTGTTACCGAGTCCCGGCGAGCCGGCAGGTCATGGACTGAGTGGTCTCTGAGGACAGAGCCTCTGGTCACTGAACAGGCAGAGGCTAAACAGTCAACTGGTCGACACTGCTAGTCTGAAGCTTAGACCCAGCTAAACCAAAGGTTCTCTTGAATGGAGAGAAGTGCCCATTTTTACAAAAATCACCACTGAGCAAGAAGCCCTCATTGCAGCCGCTAATCACAGTGTTAAATCTGGTGTCAAACTTGGCAGCAGAAATGTGCTTCTGCCGGAGGAAACAGCAACAGAAATAACGTGCAAGCTTAGCATTTCTCTTTATAATCAGGAATTCTTGAAAATTAGGGATTGTTGTTTCACCCAAGGGTTTAACAGCTGGTTGGGTTATACACATGTACTCAAAAAAGACTGTTGATGGTAAGATTTAGAATTGCTATAACACTCGCTGCCTGGGAAAAAGACAAAAAAAAAAAAAGTAGCTCTAACATTTGCTTTGATTCAGAAGCACTTTCTCTCTGGGGGCCACTTACCTCTAACAAGACACTATTGATCATGGGGTTAAGGACCTCAGCCTTCTTGTCGCTCTGTGGAATCAAAAGGATGAAATTGACAGATTAGGTGCTCATACTGCAAGGCTTGCCACGTCAAATGTCATATGCTGGCTTTGTTGAGGGATTTCTTAAAGAGGAAGGAGAGGAGAAATGGAATGCTTATTATAGACCAGGCTTCACATTTGGTGCTTCTTCTATATAATCTCATTTAATTTTGACCGAAATCCTAGTAGGTAGGGAAGTACCATGATATGATAACCTTAATTTAGAGATGAGAAACTAGAATCAGGAAGGTTGAGCAACTTGTTTAAGGTCACATAGCTAGAAATTTAAACACAGATGTTTTTAAGTATTGAAAGCTTGTAGCATGTCTGGGATTACGGAGGGGTGAGTGAGGCTGAGTCGTACAAATACAGGATTGGGTCCGGTCTCTACTGAAAATGTTGATATTTTGTTCATCATGATCTTTTCGCATTCATTTTCATTTTTAAAATTTTACATTAAAATATCTATCTAGCTGACTGATGTTGTTCCTTTGTTTTTTTTGGGGGGGTGGCTGGGGGCAGGGTAAGCTCTTAAATTTTGCGGTTGAGTTAAGTACTTTACTGGCTCACCCTAGTCCCAGCCCCAGTCAGTAGCCTTATTTTCTTTCTTGTTTTAAATGCAAACATGGGTACTTGGTCCTAGGGTATGTCTTCCAGATCAGTAGCAAAAATAACACATTTTTTAAAAAGATCTTTGTCTTAATTCTTTTTTTTAATAAATAGATTATTTATTTTAGAGAGAGGGGGAAAGGGAGAGAGCGCACTCTCTCTTTCATGCCGGCAGCAGGGAGGGGCAGAGGGAGAAGACAGAAAATCTCCAAGCCGACTTCCTGCTGAGCGCAGAGCCCAACATGGGGCTCCATCCCAGGACCCTGAGATCATGACCTGAGCTGAAATCAAGAGTCTGACGCTTAAATGAATGGGCCACCCAGGCACCCCCAAATTAAATTTAATATCACTTCCAGACAGATCTGAAGATTCCAGTTTGCAAAACATGAATATATGTAAAGCACAGAGATACAGAGCCTGAATTAAGTAGGTGTTCAAAAAGTGAGAGCTAGTGTTAGTATCATTATTATTATTTCCACTATAAGTCTATCAATCAACAGTCTTCTCTAAGTGTTCACTTTACTCTTAGACAATAAATAGTTAAAGGGCCTGGAAAGAGAGAGGGCAAGTTTAATAGGCTGGTGTTCCTTATTGTCCCCAGATGACTTTATGGTAAACAAAAGTATATAGATGGAATCATATCTTTCCAGAGCAACGCATTTTCACTGACACTACTCTACTGAGGGCAAAGTAATGTCTTACTGGGGAAACCACAATGGAGTTTGGGGAAAAACTCTTTGAAAACCCAGTCATTTTAGTAACTAACCAGAAAATCCATTATGGTATTTGCCTTCATGTTTATTTGATTATCAATAAACCTCTAAAATACAATCAAAATGAGGGCAATAAAATGACATTGGTTTTCAGAATCAATGAGATATGCATGCAACTTAAATGGAGTCTGGAGAGTGATATGCATTCATTAACTTCAAGTTATGAATAATGGCTATTTCAGAGAACAGAAACTCAATGTAAATGATTCATCTTAGCACAAGATCAGGGGGATTGTTGTGATGGGACGGCATTTCAGTAAACTCTGTTTAGCTTTAGCTTTTTCCTTCTCCAAAGTGGTAACCCGTGTCTTCTGGGTTTTGTGCACACAAACATTGGTACGCATGTACGATATACCTAGGTGTGCATACAGGTGTAAGTGCAGGTGCACACCCAGTTGCTAGAGCCTTGCTACTCAGAATGTACACTGTGGATCAGCAACACTGTTACTGAGAACTTATTAGATGTGCAGAATCTCAGTCCTCATCCCCGGCCTACGGGCTCAGAACCTGCATTTTAACAAGTTCTTCAGGTGATGTGCCTTCACCTTCAGGTGTGAGAAGCACTGTGCTGGAAGACAACAGGTCAAAAAAAATGGGAAGGAATACCGTGAATATTACCCACGAATGTAAATAAATGGATGTCCAACATAAACCATAGATAACATATAACACACACACCTAAAGACATGTACATCCTCATCCCTAGATAGCCACAGACAAACAAACAGTTGGCCATCTGTCTGGCGGGCAGCCACCTGGAGGTGAGAGATCAATTGAGAGGCCTGGAGGCATTGGTCACCCCTTCGGGCCTCAATTTCCCACCTAGTGAACCGGGGAAAGAGTGAGAAGAGGGTACAGAGAGCCTTGGGAAGCTGGGTGGCTGAGGCCATCTCATCCTGATTAAGACCTCGCACATCTCTGTAAGCCTGGCAGTTACACCACAGTCCACAGGTGTCGGTTACTCAGACAACACTGAGCACACAAACGCGTTTTATCAAGCCTATCGTATCAATGAACTTCTCTCTCTCCCTTCACTCTTCCTACATACAGTGAAGCTCTTACTGTGGAAGCCCCCAAATTATACAAGTGTGAAAGCTCATGCTTTGCAAAATAGGAGAAGCAAACCAGATGCCTTGACAACAGAATGAATAGGTGGTAGGTAGTTCAGCCCTAATTAGTCGAGTCACTTCTCTGCTGACTGGTCTATAATCATTTCCACTTCTTTTGAGAACTGCCCTTGGCCTTGGTGGGGAGGGGGGTGGGGAAAGTGCGCCCCAACAGCCGGGCAGGTCTGCATGATATGATCCTGCCCCAGTCGCTACAGGTGATACCAGGTGGACATGTGACCTGCACTGATGAGCCTTGCAGGCTTCTCACTCATGAACCCCGAATCCGAATGGAAAGACATGGGGTTGGGAAGTGCTACAACTCGGTCACATGAATGGCAACACTTTGGAGAGAGAGGGTATTCGTATCCTGGTGCTGGGTCCCCACAGCTGCTCACATTGCTCTACCTCCTTTAATAAAGTCCCTTCTCTGGGTCGATTATGTAGAGCTTGTTTCTGGTCCTTCCTGTTAAAGGCTGAATTGAGTCCTCGCAGAAAAGATATAGTGCAGTCCTAACCTCCAGGACATGGGAATGTGCCCTTACTGGGAGGCAGGGTCATCGCAGATGTCCTGAGTCAAGATGACGTCACACCGGTCATACCCGAATTCCATACAGATGGTGTCCTTATCAGAGAGAGAAATCTGGACACGGGCACAGAGGGAGGATGATGTGAAGACAGAGAAAGAGCTTGCAGTTAGGCAAAGCACGCCTGGAGCCACGGCAGTTGGCAGAGGCTCCTTGAGAGGGTGCCTGCGACACCCTGCCTTCAGCCTGCCCGCCTCCAGAACCCGGACGTGACACAGCTCGCAGTACCCGAGAAACAGGCCCCGACGGACACAGGAAATCGAACGTGCTCTTCCTCACGGCAAGATCTGCCCTTGAGTTCAGGGCCTTAAGAGAAACAGTAGAAAGGTTAAAAAGGAATAGTTTCCACTTGTCTTCCTGATGCCACTAAGGTGGGGTTATATAATGTAACTGGCCTCTGAAGAAAATAACCAGAAGCCGCACCTCCGAACAGACGCCGAACCTTTCAGAGTTGTTCCCTTGAGAACAGAAACACTTATGCGAATCGGTACAATTTTTTTTCTTTTGGTTACAGTTGAAGTGTAATCATAAAGTAAAGAAACCTCTCACCTTGGGTGGTGTATATACGACAGGTTCTGAGGGCAACAGTGAATGCAAGCATTCAAAATTATTTTAATAGAGATTCTTGAATTATAAGTCACAGATATTAATTAATGAAAGGAACTTCCATTTGACTTCTATTTATTTATTTGAGAGAGAGAGAAAGAGCAAGAGCTGGGCGGCGGGGAGGGGCAGAGGGAGACAGAGAAGCAGACTTTCCGCTAAGCAGGGAGCCTGACTCGAGACTCGATCCCAGGACCCCGGGATCATGACCTGAGCCCAAGGTAGATGCTCAACCAACTGAGCCACCCAGGCGTCTTTGACTTCTTTTTAAACAAATAAAGAAAATGAGGCCCAGAGATGTTTCAAAACCCACCTATTACGTTGTAAGTCGGAGATGGCAGGGTCAGGACTAGAACCCAGTCGGGTGAGAGCCCGAGGCTGCCTGTCCTGACAAGGTGCTCCTGGTCTGGTTTCAGCAGACATCATGGCGCAGCTTCCGTTTACCGAGCTACCAGAAAAGGCACTGCAACCTGCACTTCTCCTCACACTTCCTCACAGATCCATCTTCCATAAAGGGTGGAAAAGAGAATCGATATTAGGAACTTACCCCAACAGTGGTTAAAGAAGTCGTAAACTTCTTTGATAAGGAGGCCACTTCTTTACACATCGCAGTAGTTAATCTGAAAGAAAAAAAAAAAAGTGGTTTGAGGATTTTCCATCAGATAAAATAATTTAACCATCAAGACAATGACTGGTATTGATACCGTATTCCATTTAAAAGAACACACACAAGTTTGAAGATGCTCTGTAGAAATGGGGTTCCTCAACAATCTTCCATGATTCACAATCACCGTTGAATCGAATCCTGGTTTTCTCTGCAGGCGTAGTTAATGAATAATCACCTGATTCACCCTACTTCTTTTTAGAATCAAAAGCATATGCAGGAAAATTTGAGGCTTGAGCTCCATATGTTTAGAGGTGTAAGCCTCTTGCCAAGTGGTTTTTCTCTAGCTTTCTGGTCATTTTGAAATAATAATGAGCATTCACTGAGGTACTATGTTAAGTACTTTATTTTTTTTTTTTAAGATTTTATTTATTTATTTGAGAGAGAGAGAGAAAAAGCGCACAAGCAGGGGAAGTAGCACAGGGAGAGGGAGAAGCAGGCTCCCCGCTGAGCAGGGAGCCCGATGCGGGGCTCGATCCCAGGACCCCGGGATCATGACCTGAGCCGAAGGCAGATGCTTAACCACTGAGCCACCCAGGCACCCCATTAAGTACTTTTATATGAGTAATCATATTTAATCCTCATAGTGACCTTATGGGTTACATTAATATCCCCATTTTATAGATGATAAAACTGGCACTTAAAAAGGTTAAGCAACTTTTTTTTTTTTTAAGTAGGCCCCATGCCCAACGTGGGGCTTGAACTCATGACCCTGAGATCCAGTCGCCAGCCAGGTGCCCTAAAAGGTTAAATAACTTGCTTAGGACATGGGATAGAGCTGGGATTCAAACTCAGATGTCTCTTTGTTTCCTGATTATGTTTTTTATTAGATGCCTCATAATAAAGATCCTATAAAATCTGTTCTTAAGACTTTTATCAAAACTCCAAGTTCATTCTAGCCATTTGACTTGTAAGGAGTTTCCCCAAGAAAATAATGCAAGACAGGCGGAATATTTAACAAACATTGCTTTGATGACAAAAACCGAAAACAACCCAATTAATGTAACGATGTGAGTGTTATCTGTTTCCTTTTATAATTCATATATATGACTTTTACTAATAGTGGTTAAAATACTACTAGAAAAACAGTAACTCCAAGTCAAGAATCTTACATGTTAAAATATCTAGTGAAATCAGTAGAGGTAAGCTTTATTTTGATAAATTCTACGTTATGTATGTATTTGTTGAGCTCTTTCTGTCCACCATTCCTTCCATCCATCTGTCCAAAACTTATCTGCAGAAAGGGTCAGGAATAAGATCCAGGGATAGCTCAGAGCATTTTGTCTATGTCCTTGGGCAGGTGGGTGGAAAGGCACTTATTATACAGACAGATGTGAAGTCTTGTTACCTTTTGCTTGGTGCAGCTTGGCAAGGTTGGGATAATCTGGACTGGAAATCAGAGGTGCTAAGAGTAAGGTCCTGCTATACATACTTAGGGACTTCTGAACACCCTCCCTTTACAAACAAGTACCACAAATATAAAAGAGCACTTAGATGTTTTCAAGTTTTCCTCCTTTTCCCATTCCTCTGGCTTTTATACATTAAGGTAAGTACATATTTTTCCTAACTCTATTAAGTGCAGGATTGTGTGGTTCTTATAATATCTTTCATTTTCCCATGTTTAGGTAGGAAAATCTAGACTAGATGACACATCCTTACAAGGGAGGAGAAATGCTACCAGTAGTACAAAGATGCTAATATTGACTTTTTGGAAGGTTCTTCGACGAAACATCTGCTCCCCAACCTACGATGCCAAATGCAGTAATAAGCAAAGACTAGTTAGCTAGCAAAGTGAATGGGTGTGTTGCAATGTGTGTGTGTGTACCCATATATTTTTAGGAGGCTCTATTTTGTCTCCTGTGTCTGTGTAGTAATGAGAAGGTGTTCAGATCTGTGCTAATTTTCTATACCATGCATAAAGCCATGTGGGTAAAGTTAATGGCTTGTTTTTCAGCTCCACACCAACTGTTTTAATATATGCTCCATACCGACTATTTTCATGTATATGAAGTTACATCGATACACATTTTTATTTTACTGGATAAACTAATAATAGGGGGTACTATTTGTTGAAGAAGATAACATATGACAGCACATATGCACACACATGCAATCCGCAGGGAACTGGCTTACATCACCAACCATCACTGCCAGTATTCAGAATACGCAGAGACTGGTGCTGGTGTAAGTCCCTAGGAACAGCAGGGGTGTGTTGGAATATCTTTGTGAAGCTGACTGAGAAGTCGCATAAAGATGTTCTTTCTCTATTCTTGTGGTACGTTAAAAACTCAATTACCTTAAAAATCTGTACTTCTAAGACTTCGATCTATGAAAATAAACACTTACCCTTGAACGATTTAGTGTGTCTTTCCTTAAATCTCTTCATAAATAATTCCTAGTTAACTATTATTATTCTTGCTAACATGATTCGGCTAAGAATCTTATGAGTCCTAAGAGAGCCTATTTCCTAAGATGACCACAGACCAATGGAATTAGTTGACTTGTAATTTAAATCTTTAGTAGCCTACGGGGGGGCAGGGGGGGGTGGGTATGGGTGCACATGCGCATGTGCATCTGAATGGCACATACACATAAAACTGGAAACATAAGAATTAAAAGTAACATTTACTTTATCAGAACTCTTGCTTGGTCCTGAGCTGGTTTTTCCTCTTCTTGCCCATGAAGAATTAATTCTGCTACTTTGTGAAGCTGCTCGATACAGCGTGCTGTTACTTCTGCCAGACTTTCGATGGACAGCATATATACGTCCTGAAACAGATAAATGCAAGTAAGACAATTATTAACTGAGCAGAAACTTTTTAAAAAACCCTGTGATGTGGGGCGCCTGTCTGGCTCAGTCCATAGAAGCATGTGACTCTTGATCTTGGAGTCGTGCGTTGGGGATAGAGTTTACTTAACAACAGCCACCACCACCCTATAATGTCAAAAAAAATTATATAATTCTTTAAAAAAATGGCCTGAAAAGTTTACCCAAAGATTAATGGGCATATCTGAGGCTCTTCTAAGTAGAAATGCTGCCATAAAAAGGAAGTGTTGCCAGGTCCCCAGGGACATGGCAAGCCTTACAGCTGTGTCCCTAGTTCTTAGACCGATTCTGGGCACACACCAGGCAGGGGCTCAAAAATGCTTGTGGAAGGGCAACTGAGTAAATAAACCTCAATGGCCATTTCTTTTTACAGTGACTAAGTTTAAAAAGTTACTTTCTTGGGGCGTCTGGGTGGCTCAGCCGGTTTAGCAACCAACTCTTGGTTTCGGATCAGGTCATGATCTTGCAGTTGTGGGATCGAGCCCCTCATCGGACTCTGCGCTCAGTGTGGAGTCTGCTTCAGATTCTCTCTCCCTCCCCCTCCCATCACTCTTTCCCTCACAAATAAATAAAATCTTAAAGAAAAAAAAGTTACTTTCTCTAAAATGAAAAATTCAATGTAAAAAATGAAGTTATGGCAAACTCATTTTTGAACACAGGCAGGCTATAAATTATGCACACATAAATTTATTAAACTACAGAATAAAAACTGTGGCCGTGAAATTTTTTTGGAAAAAAGCTTCAATTACCTCATTAGTTTATGGGGCATAAAGACATTTTATAGTTACAAATTTGCATATCAGATGGAATTTTATCCTAATGATAAATCAACAGTGTTCTCAAAGATCTTTTTTCCTTTAAATTGTCATCATAAAGCTCTGGAGAAAAATGACAATATCTATGCTAAGTCACAAATTGTCCTGGCATTGAAGAATTTTCGTATTTGTCACATTAATCTTCATATTTCTTTTTTTTTTAAAGATTTTTTTTTTTATTTTTATTTATTTGAGACAGAGAGAATGAGAGAGAGAGAGCACATGAGAGGGGGGAGGGTCAGAGGCAGAAGCAGGCTCCCTGCCGAGCAGAGAGCCCGATGCGGGACTTGATCCAGGGACTCCAGGATCATGACCTGAGCCGAAGGCAGTCGCTTAACCAACTGAGCCACCCAGGCGCCCCTAATCTTCATATTTCTATACTGTTAAAACAGGGCGCAAATGAAAATGAAGTGGTTTCTCCTCACTCGAAATTCAGCTGCTAATAAAATTGAAGTCCTATTGCTGCTCTTCAGGTGGCAAATCTGAATTTATTAAATAAATAAATTTACCTCAACTGTCTTAGTTCTCCTTTCTTCCTTTTTGTCTTCTTCGGGATTTTCTGATTTCTCTTCCTTTTCTTCCTCTGTAGTGTTCTCCTCCAACTCTTCCACCATATTTATGGACACTGTAGTCTGATCTTCTTCTACCCAGTCATAAGCTTTCTTCATGGCCTGTGAAACCCCCCCATCCAACCAAAGCAACACTTTTGTTATGCAAATCTGGAGACTAAGACATTCCAATCCCAAGACTGCCCTCCACCTTCCCGGGGTGGGGTTCTCTCTGCATTCAAAAAGTTGAGGGGCAATTCCTCAGTCTCCTTAAAAACACCTTGTTGGTGCTTTCTGGTGAATATAAAGAAAGGCAAGGGGCCAGAACAGAAAGGAAGGATGGAGAGAACACTGCAGGACCTTTTTAAAGAGCACTGTAAAATGATACACAGATAAGAATGAAAATGACAGTCACCTTGAAAGAGCGATAGTATACTTTTCACTTTTCATGACCAACTATAAGAGAATAACAGTACTTTTTTTATATATATATGCGAGAGATTTAGCCAGGGTCATTGCTAAAGCAAATTTCCTCATTCGATATGTCTCATGAAGCCCTTAATGTTTCATGAACCTAATAACGTATGACGCAGGGAGGACGGAGGATGGCTCAGCTCTTGCCCAGTCACACCAGGGGAGGATGGGAGCTGTTGTCGAAGATCCGGGGCTGCTCTGTGACTAGTTTAATTTCACATGAGTGCAGGTGGAGCAACCTGTGGCAGAAAAGAATTACGGCTAACTTGACCAAGCAGAACGGCCTCCCTTCCCTGCCTGTTATTCCCTGAATTTAGAAAGGGCAGCCTCACCCAGCTTTTATCATGATAGTTTAAAGCTGTTTGCTTAAGTGCAAGTTGTATCTGGGTTTATGTTAAACTTGCTTCTCCTCTTAAAGCTCACCTGATTTTGTCAATAAGCCAGTGGGACCTTGGAGGCACCACACGCACACGCACATGCGCGCGCGCACACACACACACACACTCTCTCTCTCTCTCTCTCTCTCTCTCTCTCTCTCTCCCCCTAAGCAGGGGCAGGTGCTACACAGAGATGAATGAGGCAATTTCCCACTGTGTTCAAGTCACTGACCTGTCAGAATCGGTGACCTCTATCTGAGATAAAGAAATTACTCATATCTCCCCCTCACTGCCTCATCCTGTCCTTTCCTCACCCACCTTGATAAGTGAGGGGCCTGCATTCCCTACTGCTTGCTAAAGAGAAGGGAAGAAAAAAAGAGTGAGCGAATGGGAAAAAAAGCACAGTTTTAAGTAATTAATAATGAGTGTCCTCATTGAGAAACTCCACAGCAAGACCTTATACTAAAACTTGCAAAACGTACAATTAGAAGAAGCCAGAGTGATAAAGCTGGATCGTTCTTGGACACCATGTGGCACTGGCATTTGGGGTGGGTGGGGGGAGACGTGTGGCTGACTGGGCTGGTGGGCTTCTGTTTGCCTGATTCTGGCACGTCCCCCAGTGGGGATAGGGGAGATGGAATCTGAAAAAGCCCTTTGGTGATTCTGCACCTTGTCCTTCCCCTGCGCGGAAGATACCCACTGCTCTGATATACAATTCTATCTTGAGGAGAAGTGACTTGATCAAGGTCACAGGGTAATTACTAGTTAAGTTGCAACTAAAATGCATGTCTCAGCATGGCACAGTCTTGCATGTTCTCTCCCAACACATTTCACTGTGTGGCCTCCTGGGATCTTAATTACCGGCCTCATACTCTCCTCCCCTCGTGTGCCATTTGGGGCTTGGGGTTTTTCCATTTCAGGTGGATCACTTGAATTTTACAACCAATACCTTTAAAAAGCACAGCAACAATAAAAACTCCGACATAGCGCTGACCTTATTGAGTTTGTCAGGCGTGGCTGCAACATGTAATTCAAAGAGAAGTTCCGTAAGCATGCTAGCAAATTCTTCTCCCTTTTCTTCTAAGGCTGGAAATAGAAAATGACAGAAGTAAGAAGCATGATTTATTTTTCATCCTTCAAAATGTGGCAGCTCCCCTGACCTTACAGCCTGCAGTCAGAGTCAAAGTGGGGGGGCTGCAGCAGCGCCCCAACCCTCCCACCCCCTGGCTTACAAGCATGACAGTCAGGCAATCAGCTACTGCTGTGTGAGGGACTGCCCAAGCCTTGTTGCTCCACGTTCTAGTTGGGGTGCCCCCAGGCTGGCCTGAAGGCAACATGAGGACAGGGAGGGACGATCTGTCTTGCTCACAGCTATAGATGATCGGTAGCTATTTGTTGAAGGAGTGACTGAATGAACAAATGAATGATGTATCTCAGGTCTAGAAGACCTGGACCACACTGTATTTATGACCTGGAGTATTGTTGTGCTTAGCACTGCAACCCTAATAATACCCAGGGCACCCTTTTATGTCCACAGAGCCACCGTGCTAAGCAAGCAGAACTGGTCTCCACGGGCCATACACTATCTGATGTAACGACACTGAATCTCTGGAGAGATGTCCCAAGGTTTGCAAGGACACCTATTGGTCCCATAATACTTCTTAGTATTCTTCCTTCCAGAATGGGAGCTACCTAAGGACAGACATGCTATTTGTTTCTACTCATTCCTGAATCCAGAGTATCTAACACAGTGCCTGGAACATAAGTGTTTAATAAATACTTAGTATTTATTTAATAAATATTATGTATTTATTGTAAGTATTTATTAAATAAGTATCAAATAGTTTGTTGATAAATTATGTCATATAGAATAATATATATATATCACATATATCATGTTATGCATAACATATCCTCACATAAAAATAAATTGATATCATTGGTGGGTAATAAAGAGAGATTTTTAAAAGTTATAATCTTATTTCTTTTTCTCATTTATATCTATGGGTTGAAGCCATTTTTAAAGTTTCTAAGTGCTAAAGAATTGACTACACAATGGGTTTACCACCAGTTTGGGGAGGAATAAAAGCATCATTAATCTGCCCTGATTAAACCATCTGAAAATACTCTGGCTTACGTCAGTGGGTGAGGGCAGTAGGTTCAGGGAAAACTAAGCCATGTGAGAAAAACTGTATTTAACACTTGTGTGTATGTGCCCTTTTCTGTTTTACAGACAAAATGGCTAATTAGCAGCTCGTGAAGATAGCCAGGGTAACCTGTAGGTCTTTGTTCACAATATTTGGCTTCATCATTTTATCATCACCTAGAATCCACATATTCTCAGGGGAGAGACAGATTAATAAACAGATTAGAGAAGTAAAACATACATGTCAGATGATAAGTTTTATGGAGAAGTATAAACCGAGGCAGAGGAATAGGGACGGCTGGGGGTTGGGAAGCAAGAAGGCAACTGACAAGGTGCCATTTGAGTAATGACCTGAAGGAGGAGAGGGGTGAGCAACACCAGATGGGGTGCAGGAAGGGAAGTCCAGCCAACTCAAGGTCCGGGAGAGAATGTGCCCGGCTTGCTCAGGGACAGCAAGGAGGCCAGAGTGGGGGCAGGGAGGTGTGTGCCTTGGCGGGGGTGGGGGAAGAGAGAGGACTGTCTCTGTTCAGGGTGAAGCTAACACCAGCAAATAATTATAACCCAAAGAGGTAAGTGCGCTGAGTGAGGAGGCTTTTGCAGTACCTAATCTTGTCCTCAGAGGGGTGTTGAGAAGGCTTCCTGGAGGAGGTGTTGCCTGAACCTAGCCTAGCTAATGCCTACTTGCATGAAAGGAGAGATCGAGAGCTAGAGAGTCAGAGAGAGAGAGACAGAGAGAGACAAAGCTGAGATTCTCTCTCTGCTGGGCAGAGATCTTGGTCTAATCCTCTCTAGGTAGGCAAAGTAAGAGGGGGTAGGGACACATCTGGGCGGCATCAACAAGGTCTTGTTCCCAAATTACCTGGTCCTTCTTATTTTGTATGTGGCAATGTTGCAGGGCAGAAAGAGCCCCGGACTTAGTTGTGGCAGGTGTGGGTTTTACCCCAGCTCCTGCATTCAGAGAATCTGTGGCCTGGGGCTAGTCATGGGTCTAGTCATGCCCTCCTGTAATTAAGGATAATAAAACCCACCCATTGGGGCACCTGGGTGGCTCAGCTGGTTAAGCAACTGCCTTTGACTTGGGTCATGATCCCGGGGTCTTGGGATCCAGCCCCAAATCTCACTCCCTGCTCAGCGGGGAGCCTGTTTCTCCCTCTCCCTCTGCCCTTCCCCCCTGCTTGTGCCCTTATTCAAATAAATAAAATCTTTAAAAAATAAAATAAAAACCACCATTTCAGCTGTAGCATTGCTGTAGGATCAAATAATATAACAAATGTAAAAGTGTTTTGTAAACACTAAAGTTTTATCTACCTATATTGTTATGGGCTACAAAGATATAACCATAGGGAGATTAAAAGTATCTGGGAATCATTACTCCTAAATTAGGATATAAGTACTTTGTGTAGCTCCAGCTTTAATTTTTTTTATTTTTAATTTTTAAAGATTTTATTTATTTATTTGACAGAGACATGGAGCCAGGGAGCACAAGTGGAGGGAATGGGGGAGGCAGAGGGAGAAGCAGGCTTCCCGCCGAGCAGGGAGCCCAATGTGGGACTTGATCCCAGGACCCTGGGACCATGACCTGAGCCAAAGGCAGACACTTAACCAACTGAGCCACCCAGGCACCCCTAGCTCCAGCTTTTAAATGTGCATTTGTTCTAGAAAACAGAGAAGGACACCAATACCTTTTAGCACATATTTTAGGGAAAAAAAGTCACAAAAAAAATGGAAGCGGATAAAAACAGATGACAAATAATGTTGCCACAAAGAATACCTATTACTACAGCGCTTGGTTCGTACATATGGTCCAGATCTTCACCAAGGCAATATAAATAGAAAAGAGCCTTTTAAAACCTCTTCACAACAGTGGTAAACCAAATTAGAGACCCATGGCAGTGTGATAAAATTACACGCTGCTGGAAAGACAAACATGCAAATCATTAGCTAAAGCTATCAAACGCAGAGAAGCCCAAGGTTGAGTTTATCTAAAAATGACAGTTTGTTACATTTTTCCAAGACTTGCAAATGAATTACTTAGGTGTTAAGAGGCTTTTAGGAATGTAAATGCTTACAAGAAAAAAAATGGATGAAATGCTCTGGTTTCTCCCAGAGTTTTCCTCCTGGCTTCTCTGCTCACCCCCACTGATGAGATTCCTCTTTATAGCATTTAGATAATCCCTCCACCTCTATGGAGTTGTCATGCTCCATCATAATTGGATTGATTTAATGACAACCCTGCTATTCTTTTCTCCCAGTTTTTCTTTATGTGTTTGACATTTATTTATTAAGTTAATTAAAATTAATAGTGTTTTGATAATCTGGAGATGCCCTATGGGAAAATGGATATATTATGGGAGATAACAGGGTTCTGTCACTTAAGGAGAGACGAATCTATTTCTTAAGCATGCTGCTCAGGACTTCATATATGTATATATTTTTTTGGTCATATGAAAAAAAAATCCCAGTTTACTGAAGCTCTATATTAAGACTGGAACACATCGTAGGTAGTAACATTTTCCATTTAATAGTATTGAATCAAGGTTCCTCTCTAAGAAATTGCGCTAGTTGGGGATGCATACTGCTTTTACTTGCACGGGCAACACTAGTGCTTTGATGTTAGGAGGAATCTGGGATCTTCTTTTTATCCTTTCTGAATGACACATCCTATAGGATTAAGATTTACCTTTGGCACCATGAAACCAAAGAGAAATAACCTGGATCCTTTTGGGCGATCGTTACTCTGGAAATTGGTTCATCTTGGGCCCATAATACTACCTGTATGAACTCTGACAGCTGGTGTCTTAGTTTCTCATTATTAAAACAAAAACAAGGCTGTCCTCCTTTGTGACTCTTTTTTTTTTTTTTTTCTAATTTATTCATGAGAGACAGAGAGAGAGAGGCAGAGGGAGAAGCAGGCTCCCAAGGAGCAGAGAGCCCGATGCGGGACTCGATCCCAGGACCCCGGGATCACGACCTGAGCCGAAGGCAGACGCCCAACCATCTGAGCCACCCAGGTGCCCCCCTCCTTTGTGACTCTTGCAGAAACACACAAATGCTCAAAAACATCGTTCTCCAATAGCCTCGTTGCCATTGGCCTCTTCCTATTCTTCAGTATAATTGAGTCTTCTATTTTGATGCAATGAGCATAAATCTCATTCAACTGAAGGCACATAAGGTCCGCATGGGTGATAAAGCAGGAGATGGTATTTAAATAAGTTTGCAAATGCTTAGAATAATTTTGCCCTGAGCATCGAGGCTGAAGCACTTGGCCCTCATGTCTGAGCCTTGATTAAAAGTATGCAACACACCTGGGCAGAAAACACTTCCAGCTACTCGATGGGGCTGAATGTGCATGATCACTACTCTGTGTGTGGGTGATAAGTACAATCATAAATAAAAATACAGTTTACTGTACCTTTACTACTTCCCCAGCATTGTTTTAGTACTTTAACAATACCGGAGAACATTCTTGAGCAGTTCTGTGCGCCAAGCTCTGTAAAATATATGTTTACGTACATTATCTAATTTGAGCCTCACAATAGCCCTTGGGAATATGTATCCGTGTCTCCATTTTACAGATGCAGATAATGAGTTTCAGAAAGGTTATATAACTCGTTCTAGGCCATGCAGCCAGCTCGCGGTGAAAATATTTCAAATGGACCTTTGAGAGAGGAGGAGCCAGCCTTGTGTGTCAGCCTCACCCGAACAACGGTGGCTGTGGGACTAGGTGATGATACCAGTAAGAAATCACTCTCCATGTACAACAGCAAATGTTTTGCTATATTCTGCTCCTAATTAAATGGGCAACATAAAGCAATTCTTTTTTTAATTGCCCTCGATATTTTTTCTTAAATATTTATTTATTTGAGAGTGAGGGCACAAATCGGGGGGGGGGGGCAGAGGGAGGAGAAGCAGACTCCCCACTGAGCAGGGAGCCCACATGGGGCTCGATCCCAGGACCCTGAGATCATGACCTGAGCTGAAGGCAGACGCTTAGCCAGCTGAACCACCCAGGTGCCCCTAAAGTAATTCTTAAGCATGTCTAACTTTGAAAACCTTTTTTTCCCCTCTCAGGGAAGACTTGCTTCAGACAAAACAGGTCCTCATCTCCTTGGGGTCCGTGTCTTTGGCTGGCTGGAGGATTATCAGGAGCGTGCACCTGGCTCAATTCAGTGATTGACAACCTGATACATCCTCCCTCCCCCCGATTGCACTTTCTAGACGGAGGGCAGGCCACTTACAAATACACGTTAACTCCTAAGCATATAAATTAAGTATAATAAGAAAAATCTAAGGAGAAATCTATTGAGAGACCTGCCTGCTGCATGCAGATAAAGGCTGTGCTCAGTGCACCGCATTCTTGGCTCCTTTGCCAAGGGTGCCTGGGTGGCTCAGTCGTTAAGCGTCTGCCTTCGGCTCAGGTCATGATCCCAGGGCCCTGGGATCGAGCCCTGCATCGGGCTCCCCGCTCAGCGGGAAGCCTGCTTCTCCCTCTCCCGCTCGCCCTGCTTGTGTTCCCTCTCTTGCTGTGTCTCTCTCTGTCAAATAAATAAAATCTTAAAAAAAAAAAAAATCTTTAAAAGAAAAAAAAAAGACGCCTCCCTCAGGAGTGCCCACCTGGAGAAAGAAGGCTATAGATCACGTGGTCAGCTCCTGTCACGAGAGCAGGTGCACAGAGTGTTTTGGAAGCGAGGAGGAGGAGCTCTTGAATGAAATAATTCCCCATTGAAAGGGCTGTCTGTAATAACCTCTTTGTTTTGCTCTTTAACTGATGATTTTCCTTTACCTTGTTCTTCTTGATTCTCTTCATTCTCGAATTCTTTGGCTGCAAAGATGTCTTTAATGGAAATTAGGTCGTTTTTTAAGAGTTCCAGCTTCTCTCCATCGAGTGATGCTAAAAATGACTGAACCTGAAAAAAGAAATGGGTCAGCATAACTGTCATCTTTTCCTGTTAATCACGTTTATGTACAGCTGTCATCAGGGCTCCCAGGACTGAGGTGATTTGGTGGCGTGGGGGGCAAGGCCGGGTTGAATGCTGGACTTACTGCCTATGAACTGTGCGACTTTGGGTGAGTTACAGAAGCTCCCTGGGCCTGTTTTTTAAATTTTGAAGTGAGATCCACACTTCATTGTGATCCTTTGTGAGGTAAATGAAACAGCAAAGGTGAAGTAACTACCCAGGTGCAAACAGCAGAAGCTAAATAAGTCGTGGCGGTAGCCCTTCTAGCCTCGTGGGCAAAACACATGGGCTGTCAACTCTGAATTCAAATACGAGCCCCTCACTGATGAATTGTGTGCCCTTGGGAAAATGAGGACGAAAAGCATCTACCATGTAAGGTTATTTTGAAGGTTCAATTAAATAATATACCTAATACTTGTAGGGGCTCCTGGCCAGCTCAGGCGGAAGAACATGAGAGCTCGATCTCAGGGTCGTAAGTTCGAGCCCCATGTCGGGTGTAGAGATTATTAAAAAAATAAACTTAAAAAAAAAGTGCTTGTAGTGAAGGTCAAGAAATTACACATATATTACGTATGTTAACATACAGAAGAATATTAATATATATAATACATATACACATAAACCCATAAAGAAATGTTTTATACATACAGATATACGTATATACTTGCTAGATGTGGGTTATTGAACCGGGGTTACAAAAACACACGAGATGCATTTTTCTCCTCCGAGATCTTGCAGGCTAGAGGAGGGAGGCCCAGGTTAACCGCTAACAGCCATGACAGATATGAATAGAGTGGCAGTGGGGTACCAGGGAGGGAACTTCAGTCCCCCTTAGGGAGGCAAGAGGGTGGGCAGGGAGAGTTCACAGAGGATGATGCTTGAACTGATATCCTCCCTGCTCATTGTCTTCAGAACCCCTCTTTTCAAACTGTCCTCTGTAAACATTTGAAAATTATCTGCACACATGGCCAGTCATCCTCTGCGAATCTGAAGACTGATCTGAATTTCCAAAATGGCCAAAGTGCACGGAGAACCATGTAAAAAATGAAGTAGGGGGGAGGTGGGTGGGGGGATGGGGTAACTGGGTGATGGGCATTAAGGAGGGCATGTGATGTGATAAGCACTGGGTGTTATACGCAACTGATGAATTACTGACCTACATCTGAAACTAATGATGTACTATAGGTTGGCTAATTGAATTAAAAACAGAAAAATAAAAAAATAAAATCTAGGCCGCAAGTAGAGTGCGACATAATGGAAACTACTCAATCACTATTGTTAAATAAATGAGCGAATGGTTTCTGAAAAAAAAAATGAAGTAAGGGTATAAAGTAGTAAGGTTTTCATGTTTTCATTCTGCAGGTCAAACACTTGCTCTGGAGGGAAAGCCCATAGACGCACCACAATGCCTTTGGAATATGTTTTAATACTCATTATGGTAGTAGATTCACACGCCAGGATAAGTGAGAGAGAGAGCATCAGGGATGCCAGGGCACCATTTTCCTAAAAATCGTAATGCATATCACCAGGGCATAATGCAATCGGCAAGGAGGCTGGGGAGAAGCTCAGCAGGAAGCCATCAACACAAAACTCATTAGCGAGAGAGTTCAGCAGGTGGAAGGAAATGCACCCTGCATGATGGCTGCCAGCAGGCCTTTTTGCTCTGACCTTTTCAGAGCCTTTTTTTCAGCTCATACACTCATGAGTAGGCCTCAGGGTCCTAGATAGACCCACGGCAGATTCCTACACTCTAGATATATTTTCCAAACAGCAGTTTTCTAGGAGTAAAATTAAAAGGTAATTATTGAATCCATGGGCTTGAGCACAACACGGGTGAAAATGTATACACAGGTGTGAGACATTATGGCTTCCCCATGGCTCCTGGAGGGTAGCCAGCCTCTGGGAGGGAAGGCACTGGGGTTTTATGCTTTGGGTATCCTTTGGGAAGGGTTCTTTTTAGCAAAGGACTCTATTGTCAGCGTCTTTCTACCACAGTATCTCTTTTGCTTCCTCCTAGTTCTTTCCATTATGCCAAGGTGATGAGCAATGAATCTTTACTTCAATCCAGTAATAAATAATCATGCACTCCTCAATAAATATTCATAGAATGCTGACTATATGCTTGGCACTGTGCTAAGTGTTGTTGGAAACACAAGGGTAGACAGTCTGCCTTGTCAATCTTTTTCCTGAAAGGGAGTATGGGGTGCCATTTTGAAGATTCTTGTTTACTGTTTTTGTTAGCTATTGAGTATAATAGCAATAGAAATTATCAGGTTTTTTTCTTAAGATTTATAGTATACCACATTGCCATGCCTGTTGCCATCCTAGAATCAATCTAAGAGAATAGTCATGATAGTAATTCCTTATATTTCTGTGCAATGTGTCAAAGTTTTAGCCAACGAAATGTCGACAGAGGTGATGTGTATCATTTCTGGGTCAAAGCTCTTAAAAAATGGGAGTGGGGGCACCTGGGTGGTGCATTGGTTGAGTGTCCGATTCTTGGTTTTGGCTTAGGTCATGATCTCAGGGTCATGAGATCGAGCCCCATGACAGGCTCCATGGGTGGGGAGCCTGCTTGGGGTTCTCACTTCCTCTCCCTCTGCCCTTCCTGCTCATGCCCTTTCTCCCTAAAAATAAATAAATAAAAATATTTTTTTAAAAATGGGAGTGTACCCTCTACACTCTCTGTCCTTATGCTGTTAGGATAAAGAAGACAAGGAGGCCCTAGAGGATGGTGACAGCCAATACTCAGACCCAGGGGAGTACACAGGGCCAAAGGGATGTGCCCACACAGAGCCCACACTCCCTCTTCCAGACCACTCTCTAGGTACTAAAGTTACTAAAGTTTCCCTTCCACAGCCTGTATGGATCTCTTCCCAGGCTATGCTCCTTGTGGTGGGACCATCCACCTCTTAGATGTTTGGAGGGCTGCAGGTGCAGCTTGAACCAGGGCATCCTCACATGTGAACAGAAAGCTTCTTGAAGGGAGAGACAGCTAGAAATAAAGGGACAAGAGCAGGCAGGAGGGTGGTGGGACATGTGAGGGATTTGAGAATTCTGAATGGGAACCTGGTTTTCAAAGTCGTTATGAAAGTGTGTTTGTTGAGGTAGGATGACGGAATATATTTTCTTTAACAGTTTGTTTCAAAAGTCCTTTAACTTTTTTTTTTTTGAGATTTTATTTATTTGACAGAGAGCACATGAGCACAAGCAGGGGGAGGGGGAGAGGGAGAAGCAGGCTTCCCGCCAAGCTGGGAGCCCGACAGGGGACTCAATCCCAGGACCCCGGGATCATGACCTGAGCTGAAGGCAGAAGTGTAACTGACTGAGCCACCCAAGTGCCCCAAAAGTCCTTTAGCTTTTAAGTATTTGGTATGTGTAGGAGGTCTAGTTAAATTTGAATTCTAAATAAATAATATTTTCTTAGTATGAGGGTATGTCCCAAATATTGCACAAGACATATTTATACTAAAAAAGTATCCATTGTTTATCAAAAGTTGAAGTTTCACTTGTCATCCTGTGTTTTTATTTGCTAAATCTGACAACCCCAGTAGGGCTCTCCATTTGTATTCTTGCCAGAGGCCTGTGAACATCAGGATGGGTCTAGTGGAGCCCCAAGATGGACAGAGTCTGGCCGCTGAATCCCCAAAGCAGGAAAGCTGCCTGATGACCAGGCACTCCCATCTTGGACTATTATAGGCATGAGGACAACTCCTACTGATTTTGACCCATATGTTTTTAGGACTTGTTTATTACAGCACCCAGTGACTATCGATACTAATCCATGAAAACATTCTGCATTCCTTACCATGAATACTACTATAAAAATCTCGGGGGGGGGAGGGGGCGCCTGGGTGGCTCAGATGGTTAAGCGTCTGCCTTCGGCTCAGGTCCTGATCCCAGGGTCCTGGGATCGAGCCCCGCATCGGGCTCCCTGCTCTGCGGGGAGCCTGCTTCTCCCTCTCCCACTCCCCCTGCTTGTGTTCCCTCTCTCGCTGTCTCTCTCTGTCAAATAAATAAATAAAATCTTAAAAAAAAAAAAAAAATCTCTAGGCCGGGGGCGGGGGGAGGAAGAAAGCAGAGCTCATAGGAGCAGTGTGCAAACAGAGGGAAATGTTTGCATTTCCTCCAGGGACCAAATCCCCTTCCTAGCAACATCGGTCCTTTGGGGCTCTTTTCTAGGGACCTGGGACTTTCACAGCTGAGACCTGCAATGAAACCCACCAGAGTAGACTCTCTCTACACCATGATAACCTTAAGGGTCAAGCATCCCTGTCATGTTTTTAATAATAACACACACATACATATAACATAAGAATACATGTAAAAATAAAATGTCGACATACATGCATATATACCTACATGTATAAAAAGGCAGCTAACATTTATTGAGAACTTATTATGTATTAAGCGAGCTGCAACTGGCTTCACATGGATTATCTCGTTTAATTCTTTTAATACTCCTACGAGGTAGGTTTTATTATTATTATTCCCATTTCATAGAAATTGGAGATTGAAGTGAGATGGGTCCAAAATCATACAGCTACTGAATGGTATTTGATCACGTAATGGCTAATTCGAAATCCAGCTTTTGTAGGAGCAATTTGTGCTGCCGTGGAAAACTGCATTTTCTAGAGCATGCATTACCAGATTATCTGATTCTGAGTCTATGGGAGCAATTTCACAGCTCTTTAGATTGTAGCTCACTGATAGCAGTGCAAAATAATTCTTGTCTATAGACAGGTGAGTAGATTCTGTCTAGCAGAGGGCCAACCTCCCCTCCTGTGGAAAAAACAGGTTTATGCCCATTTGCACATTCATTTCAAAATTGCTTTACTCCATACAAATGTGTGTGTTGGCTTTTTCCCTTGAACCAGTTATAACATTCCTTCATGTAATAAGGGGGCTAAATAAATTCTTTAATTCATGTTCATTTTGCATCTGTATATGAGGCACGATTTTGCTTTTTAAAAAAATCACCCTTTCACAGTTTCACCAGAAGACTCTCCCTGATGGCTCATGGTAACAACAAGAGGAAATAAGCACAGATAGTAACATGTAACTCAATCACCTGGAGGGAGGGCCATTTCCATCCTGTTTGGTTCTTGGTGGCCTGTTACCCGGCAGAGGCCATTTTTCCCCGTCTAGGTGGGCATCAGGAATGTCTCCACCCCCTCAGAGTCCTAACTTAGGGACGTGGCCGAGAGAGAGTCAAGAATCACTTCTCCGTTCTAAAGCCCCCTTCCAACCTCCTCTTCGCATCAGAGGGCCTGCTTCTCTCCAGCCAATGTTACTGAGATGACCCAGAGCCTCTCCCAGGAGGTTCCCAGGGTGCTGCCCTGTGGGCTCCACCGGAAATACACCCCGAAGTACAGTCAGCCTGACTTTCACACGAAAGAGCTGTATGTACAATTAAATGAATCAATAGGTTTAAACTGCTTAGAAGAGTGACTATAGAAGGGCCATATGAATATTGGCTCAATAACCCTCCCTCCCACATAGATCCTCTAAAAAAAAAAAAAAAATCTCCAAACCCTGCTGATGTCTGCTATTTCTGTTTTGCTTCTTGAGATCCCAGTGGGGGAATGCGAATGTGCGGGGCTGTCAGGTAATTCCCAGGTTTCTGTTCAGGAACATTCTCAAATAGAACTTTAACTCCCAGTATGATGATCCTGCCTTTGGTGGCCCAGGCATTTTAACAAATGGGTGAATAAACCACTATATAGCCCCTAAAACCGTATTTAAACCCTGCAGTCTGGAAGAAACCTCAGCTGCTTTGTTTTCACAGGGTGGAAGTGGCAGCCTGGCCTGGTAGGGCATCCCTGGTCTGGGTGCTACATCACCAAAGGGAAGCACAGGGCCAGGAGCCTGACAGCCAAGTTTCTGAGCAGCCTTCTGTCCCATGAGCTGGGGGCAGTGAGGACTGTTGTTTTGCTGGCCCTCTTGGGGCCGGGGCGGGGTAATAGCTTAGCACTGGACAGAGAGGAAGTAAGATGGCACATGAGGAGGTCATCAGGCTGTAGAATATTTGTGACCTCAGCCCAATACTAATGAGGCCCTAAAAATGAGATATTTTAATGGCAGACTTTCCAGTTTCTTTCGTGTGTAAGAAAACACATTAGTGACCGTGGTATTTTAAGCGACCAGGGCAGACATACCTTGCTTTCACTTTCATTGGAAAGAATTTCCAGAGCTTCCAGGTGCGACAAACCTTGATATTCATCAAACAGCATCCCATAGTGGGCAGTCCTCTCGGCCGTCAGCTGCTGGGCCAGTCTCTCCTTCTCTTTCTCCTTGGCTTCCCTTAACATCTGCAGAAACACACAATGTTTGTGCCCTGGATGTAGGCTTGAAAGCCTCATTTCCTTTGTATGATGTAGGGAGAGATGAGGACTGGCTTTGTCTTTGTGTCACTTAGGAATTTCTAACAAAATGATTCTTTCATTGATTCTACTGACAGTTTTTACATATTACACGTCGAATCTTACATGTTCACTATATACACAACAAAGCAAAAATTCTACCGCTCGCAAGAGGATTGGAAAGAAGCAAAACAGAAGCTGAACGAACAGTGGTTTCCGCTGAAGTGTTTTCTGTGTGTGTGATTAATTTCCTTATTTTCTGAAACACCCGAATTTTCTATAGTGAGCAAATTGATGTACACCGGGAAAGTGTAATCTGTTGTGATAGGGTTCATTGCAACTTCCGCACCCAGCCAGACCTCAGAGTAGCCACAAGTTGGTCTTTGATCGGAGTTACATTATTTTAAAAATTTTATGTGTGGTTATTAACCATCTTCGATGAAAAAAAATTCATAAAATATAAACTCATAATGCATTCCTTGTCAGATACTTGGTATAAATAAGAATATTAGCTTATCAATTCTTGAGAAGTAAGACTGGGAATGGAGTTCCTCTCCATGTTGATCATTTTTCTCCAGTTATTTTTTGTTGATTACATAAAGAGAACAAAAGGAACACGAGTACCTCAGTCACTCCCAATTTCCTCCACTTGCTTTCTGTGATTCTAAGCATCTTTTATGTGATTCCTCATTAAGTTTCCTGGGCATTATGTTTATAGGGTTCTTTAGTATCTCTGGAGAGCACCATAAACACAGTGGCTGCCACAAGTTCACAAGGGAAAGATCATGGAAGAACAGACCGTGGTTTTTACTGGGTGTCAATAAAACTGGGTGTCTTCTCCTTCTGGGTTCTTGAGGCCATTAGCCAAAAACTCACTGGGCTTCCGACAGAATTCTCCCCTCTGTCTGTCTGTAAGACTACATATGCACGAGCTCTGAATTTTAAAATTTTCAAAACAACTCCATCAAATGATCACTGGGGATTTTTTAACACTTACAATAAAACCCAACTATTCTCACTGATCTTCCTGACTCGGCACTGGTAAAACAAAACAACCAAGCGACACCAAAATTGCTTCCTTTCCCGAGAGCCACTTCTGTCTCTAACTTTGTGCTTTGGAACAGAGGGGAAGGGATGAAATGAAGGGGGCGTGGGGAAGGTCGCTCTGGAATGATTTGGATTCACTCAGAAGATAGAGAGAAATTAAAGTTGCTTAAAGAAGAACTGGCTTCCCAGAGGATGTCGGTCTATTTTCCACCTGGAAAGGAAAAGGAGATGGTTTGGAACAGCAATGAGTGGTTGTGGCGTGGGAGTCTTCTTCCGGACAGAAGGGTAGCTCTGGAGACTTGCGTCTGTGGGTCCGGAGACCACCCCGTGCCATGCAGATAGAACACAGGAGAAGTTCAGGGAATGTGTGTAGGAACATTTTGGGCTTCTACAGTTACTCAGTGTGGATTAGGAAAAACCCAACAGACTTCCCTATGTCAATGGACGGCAGCTTCATCCTTTGAGCTGTTCATGCCAACACCCGTGGAGTCGCTCTTGCTGCCTCCTTATCTCACACCCCACGTTCCCTCCAACAGGAAGTCTGGGTTGATCTTCAGAATATCCCTGGAATCAGCATTCCCTGCCCCCAGGGCTCCACACTGAGCCCCCACGTCCTCCTGCTTAGGTAACAGCACTTGCCCCCGGAGGAGGCAGTGAGAATTGCAGCATCAGTGACCAACGGCCCCGGATGCTGGATTCACTCAGAAGATAGAGAGAAATTAAAGTTGCTTAAAGAAGCAATCCACGCCTCCTGTGATGAATCACCAGTGCAGCAGGGACCCTGGGGAGACCTGTCCCGGGAGATCAGCTGAAGGACTGTCCCAGGGCTCTGCCCGCCTTTCCTCAGAGGACACAGCAACCTAGGATGCTTTCACCCCATCTTCTCTCCCTCTCCCGATCCCTGGGGTCAGACGTGCATCTTAGTCTGACGGCCCTCTCAGCCGTCTTGCCCCCCACTTCCACTTTCTCGCTCAGCATTTCCCCTAATAAAATCCTCACATGTCAAGGCCATCTTGGCCTCTGTTCCTGGGACAGCCTGCACGGGTACACACTCGACCTGGTCTCCCTGCCCTCAGCCCTCCCCATACCCAGTCTGTTTTCAACACAGTGACTAGAGTGCTCCTGTTACAGGCAGATCTTGTCACTCCTCTTTTCGAAATGCTGTAACGTTTTCCCCATTTCACTAACGGTACAACCTGAAGTCCCTACAAATGCCCTCCAGGATTTGCCATGACCTGCTCCCCATTAGTAATCTAGCCTCATCTGTAATAGTTCTCCTCCCGGCTCACTCCTTTCCCACCATGTAGTATCTTGTTCTTTGTCCACACTAGACAGTCCTGCCCCAGGGCCTTTGCACAAGCTGCTCTTGCTGCATGGAATGTGCCTCACTCAGATTTCAGCATGGTCAAGCCCCCCATCTCCTTAAATTATTTGCTCAACTGTCATCATCTCCATGAGGCCACCCCCCCAACAATCCAATTTAATACCTAACCTGCCCCTCACTCCTACATACCTTCTTCCTGCTCTTTTTCCTTTTTTCCCCCACAGCACTCAATCATCTTTTAAAATACTAGATAATGTTGATGGTTTGTTTATCTCTCCTCACTGTAACAAAAACTCCTTAAGGACAGGGATTTTTATCCATTTTGGCTACTGATGTATCTCAAGTGCTTGGAAGGGTGCCTGGCACATAGTGGACATTCAAAATGCGTCTGTGGAATGAATGAATGAATGAATGAATGAAAAGTTACTGTGTGGCAGGAAGTTAGAGTCAGTAGTGTTGTGGGGATCCATGTGAATTAGAGGTGCCGTGCTCAAGTGTGCCCCCGAATGTTGGGTACCATACTCATTGCACTTTTCTGATGTGTAATTAGAATAAACATTACAGATGGCTAGTGTGGATTCTCAGGTGACATATTTCCATGAGCATTGCTCCTTACTTTTTAGCAATAGGCTGATAAAAATTGTGAAGGTGGCCCCAAACCTACAGTAATCTGGGAACCTGACCAGATCCAGTTCTCCATTTTAGAGGTGTGTAAATTTCAGACGAGAGTAGAATTAGCCAGTTTCTGTACTTGGTCACATTTCCCCCACATTATCAGTTTCTTAACCAGAATCAAATTTATATACCTACATATATACTTACATATGTATACATAGGAATGCTTATATGTACACATATGTAATATATGTATGTATGTGAATATATATGTATATATATGTATATAGAAATTTTATAGATATATGAAATCTCATGGCAAAAATATTCCTACGTGCTCACCAAATATCCTTTTCCTCCTAGACACATGGCTAAACTATATTTCTCAGCCCCCTGAGTTGAATTAGGTAGATAAGTGAGAGATAGGTGTGATTAAGTTTTGGCCAGAGGAATGAGGGTAAAGTTCTAAGTTGTCCCACCTAGTCCTCCCCATCTCACCTTCCCCTCTCTATGAGGCTAGAAGTAACGAATTTTAGGATGGCAGAGTCACGGGATACGGGCTCAGAAAAGAGCTACCTGGAGAGTCCCTGGACAGGAATGCTTACATCATAGAAGCAAAAGATAGACTTTTTTCTTTTCTTAGCCACACTGATCCTTGAGTGTTGGTTTTTCTGTGTCGCTTTTGTTTTGCAACAGCTAGTATTAATTACCTGATTAATATAAATTTATTTTCTTTTTTTAATGCTTTTTAAAAAAAGATTTTATTTATTTGAGAGAGAGAGAGAGAGCACGAGTTGGGGGGGGGGGGGAACAGAGGCAGAGGGAGAAGCCAGACACGGGGGCTCGATCCCAGGACCCTGAGATCATGACCTGAGCTGATAGCAGATGCTTCACTGACTGAACCACCCAGGCGTCTCTCTGTTTTCTTTTTAAAGATCAGTAGGGTGGTGGTTTAGGTGATCCTGCCAAGTCCCGACCTGAGCTATAATAGCAGAGTGGTTATATGAGGGTTACTCTGGAAGAGACAAGGGGAAATAGTTTAAAACAAAAGCTTTTCAGGAACTGCCACTCACATGGTGTCAGTAATAGTTCCTCGGTGGCTTCCTAGTACTGAGCTTTGAGAAGCTATGTTCGTCCTGCCTGCGAAATTTGCAAAACCCAGGGCTATATCCGCCGCTCCTGATTTCAGGAGAGCAAAGACAGATGTGGTGTATCTGACCGTGAGGGAAGAAGGGGACAAGGGGCCACCTTGCACTGCAGTGCATGAATTGGGCACGTGCCATCTAAAAGAGCAAGTTCAGTATTAGTGTTCTATACTTGGAAAATAAGATAAATAGTATTTTTAATTTACCTGACTACTATAAGTAAGCAAAACACAGATTAAATTCTTTTTTTTTTTAAAGTAAAAGCCCTCGATGGAGGGCTTGAACTCATGACCCCAAGATCAAGAGTCACATGTCCTACCGACTGAGCTCTACCAGGTGGCCCACAGATTCAATTCTTCGTATCATATTTCTCAAGGAGGGTTGGGAAACTTTAAAACTGGAAGTGTGAGAAGAGAAGCCCATCCTTGCCCATAGTAAGAGCACTGTAAATTAAAATGCAAATGAAATACCATTTCCACCTATTATATGGACACACAATAATAACAACAATAACCGGCATTCCTGAGTGTTTGCTAAGAGCCGGGTACTATGCTCACTCATTTAATCCTTACATCAAAGCTATCCATAGGTACTGATGTTATACCCAGTACAGATGAGTAAACCAGGGCACGGAGGGGTTAAGTAACCTGTTCAAGGTCATATGGCTAGAACGTGGTAGAGCAGGAATACATACAATAGTGTTATAAACTGAACGCTTGTATACCCCCAAAATTCACATGTTGAGACCTAGTCCCTGGTGTGATGGTATTTGCAGGTGGGGCCTTTGGGAGGGGATTAGGTCGAGGGTGGAGCCCTCCTGAATGCGATTAGTGTCCTTATAAAAGAGAGCCCACAGAGCTCCTTCCCTCTTCCACTATGTGAGGACACAGCAAGAAGACAGCTGTCTGTGAACCAGGAATGGGCCACCACCAGATACCGAATCTGCCAGCACCTTGATTTTGGGCTTCCCAGCCTCCAGTGCTATGAGAAATCAGTGTTTGTTGCTTGTAAGACACCCAGTCTATAGTATTCGGTTATAGCAGCCTGAGTGGACTAAGACAAATGGCAAAAATGTAATCATCTTCAAGAAATTATTAAGTGAATAAAGCAAGGTACAAAAGAGTGTGGTTAGTATACCACAATTGGTCTGAGAAAGTATCTATGTATCTACGTATCTGTATATCTGTATCTCCATCTCATGTATGTATGTATAGCTATATGATAATTCTGAGAGTATCCATAAGAAGCTGTTAACAGTGTTTGTCTCCCATGAGAAACCAAGTGGCTGGGGAAAGAGGTGTATCAGAAACTCAATTTTCATTCTCTACTAATCTTATGTCATTTGAATTTAAGTCATGTGCTTGAAAATACCTATTAAAAAAGATACAGGGCGCCTGGGTGGCTCAGTTGGTTAAGCGACTGCCTTCGGCTCAGGTCATGATCCTGGAGTCCCGGGATCGAGTCCCGCATCGGGCTCCCTGCTCGGCAGGGAGTCTGCTTCTCCCTCTGACCCTCCTCCCTCTCATGCTCTCTGTCTCTCATTCTCTCTGTCCCAAATAAATAAATAAAATCTTTAAAAAAAAAAAAAGATACATAAAAATGCATTTACTTTACAGACTGAAAGAAAACATTGCAAACGTGTATAATCCCACCTGTGATAAGGAAACGGTTCTCTCCATGAGTGTCTTGGTCCGCTTAAAGCCTGGGTCACTCTCTGCAAGGACATTCATGGTTTTCTTACCGATGAATTCCAGAGCATCAAGACCACCCGTTAAGACACTTTTACCCTGCCAATGAAATAATTGCATGAGATTAGTTTTTGCCTTTTGCTTTTCCACAGCAGTCAGCAACTCCTAGATGGCACCATTTTCAGATATTAAAATCAATGTAAAGTCACAATTTTTTCTCATTAGCTGTCTTCTTAATATCCACTTCATCCTATTTTCTTTTCCTTGGAAGGGCATATGTCATATAATTTGTAGGACAGATGATATTATTTAAAAAGGGTGCTTAGGAAAAACCAAAGCATATTGGGATAAATTTTGCTGGTTCTGTGTGTAGGAATAGATATGTATCTAAGACATAAAATTAATAGGTGATCCCACTACTGTTTTTGTTTGAAAGAATGTTAACCCAAGTAACAGAATTATGTGGAGCAGTCTATTAAGATGTCAAATACTCTTGCCAATTTAGTGAATTCTTTAATCTAGAGCCTTGGAGTATAGGACCCCCAGGCTGTGTCAGATGGCTCTTGCATACTTTCAGAAACTACTAATAACCGCCTATAATTAGTATATTCATGAAATAAGACAGGTTGATTTCCATAGACCACTGGCTTTAGAAACTGTTCGATCATACAGTTACCCTTCTGCAAATCCTCTTGTCAGCCATTGTTTTCCTTAAAAAAGAAAGATTAAAACAACCAAGCTTTACTCACATAAACTGTTCATATAACTAGAACGGCTTACATTTCTTTGCAACTTCTATACAAACACTTCCACTTCACAACTGCTCTTACACTATGCATACATCTGTGTTTTTTCCACCTTACATCAATTTATATACATTATATTTTAGTATTATGTTATTGCCTATATACATTTCTTTTTTTTATTTTATTTTTTTTTAAGATTTTATTTATTTATTTGACAGAGAGAGACACAGCGAGAGAGGGAACACAAGCAGGGGGAGTGGGAGAGGGAGAAGCAGGCTCCCCGCAGAGCAGGGAGCCCGATGCGGGACTCGATCCCAGGACTGTGGGATCATGACCTGAGCTGAAGGCAGTCGCTTAACCAACTGAGCCACCCAGGCGCCCCTGCCTATATACATTTCTAATCTTAATTATTGCTTCATTAGCAATATTAGACTTCACTGAATATACTTTAGTTGTCATTTCCATCTTGGACATTTAGACTTTGTTTTCAGATTTGGGAGCCAATCAACAGTCACACTATAAAACAGATTTTAACACACACATATTGTGGAAGGACTAGGGGATATCGGCAATGTATATTTTTGCGTAATATGGTTTATTTTCTTTTAACACCCTGAGGTGTTACTTTGGTAAACATCACATGGGAGAAGGAAGGACATAGGGACTTCGATGAAGGGCGGACCTGGTGGGAGGGTCTGGAACTTTGGTGTTACTTTGGTAAACATCACATGGGAGAAGGAAGGACATAGGGACTTCGATGAAGGGCGGACCTGGTGGGAGGGTCTGGAACTTTGGAAAAGAAAGTATCAGAAGGTAGAAGTGAACACAGTGGAAATGGGGGTGCTGAAGACAAACTCAGAGTGCCCTGCAATGTCTCAGGGAGACGAGGAACTCAAGTCTCATAACCACGGCTACCGAAGGAGCTCCTCCCCATCCCCGATCCTACCCACCCCTCACTGTAGACATACTGGACTTGCGATGCTCTCTGACTGCTCAAACACATTTGCTGCTTCCCATTCACCCTACTTAGTCTACAGGGCCTCAAGTCACCAGGAGAAGAGCTGGCATTTTCTAATTCTGGCATGCCCGGACCCCAGAGTCTGGGTAAGATACCCTCACCTTCTCTTCTTCCCACATTGCTTTGTACTTGCCTGTCGAGTTGTCTCTATCTTCCAGAATGTTCTGCCCTCTTGTTTGTCAGTATATGCCCAGCATCTAGCATAGCTCCTGCCCCACAGTGAGGGCTGATCACCTTTTTTTTTTTTTTTTTAAATGAATGAATGAATAAGTTGGATAGCAACTATATTTCTAGAAAAACTAGCTGGTTGGTTTTACACGGCAGAAAATAAACCTTTTCTTCTTGTCACTGAAGACAAGCTAGGTGTGTCATCTCGGTTGGGGGGGCTTCCCTCTTTTTTCATTATTCATCAGTGTGTTGTTGCCAATAACACACTTCTTTAGGAGGCAGGAAGGGGTCTGGGGCGGGGGAATAAACAGGGTTATTTTAGGAGAGTAGGAATTGGGAGGTAGGGATGGGGGAAGAATGTCGGTCTTAGTTACCTGGAAACACTTCAGAAACATCTCGGGATGTTGTTCCCAATTCCCTACCAGCATTTTTTTTTTTTAATCTGAATGGTTTTATCATTTTCAAATTGAAGGTTAAGAAACACAGACCATCTAGGAAAAACAGCTGTCTCAGCTCTAAGAAAGAGCCCTCTCTCCTCCCCCAGCCAGAGGCTGTCCTTGCAGCTGTTGGAAAGGACACTGTTACATCAGACTGAAAATATTCCTTCTAAGCAGCTCTCTTCTTTTAAACATAAAATATATATCTTTTGCCCTTATTATTTTGGTGCCAAGGTTACGCCTACTCTGGAGGAGAAAAAGCATAATAAAACCATAATCCAAAGTTATGAGCGAGGCCATCTTTTCTCTAATGTATCTGGGTCACTGGTAAATACAAATATCAAAAGGAGGTGCTGGAAGACACAGGGGAAACAGAGCAGCAGCTAAGGACTCACTGTGTTTTGAACGACGTTGGTGATGGTTGACAGCATGCCCCGAGACCCAGATGCAGGAGAAGTGGGTGGGCTTTCTGCAGGGCTCTGATCTGTGGCCACATCTGCTAGTAGGGAGAAAAACATCCTCTTAGAGTTCATTCTGCTGATCTGAGCTTAGAAAGCTTCCATTTGTGCACATACGGCCCAAGTCCAAAAAGCGCCCCCAATAAATGCATCACTCACTCTGAGGCACTCCATTTTCAGCATCAGGTTGGGCCCCTTCGGGAGAGCTGGAATTTACACTATGAATCCGCAGGGTGGCCCCTGCTTTTTCCTTGACTGCTGTCAATCCATGGCCTGTCAGGAAATAAAAGTATGGTTCAGGAAAACAATAGAAACCCCTGGTCTGCCAATTCAATAGCTCATGTTCCAGGGCTGTCGTGAGCTGTAGGTGTCCACCCTGGTTGTAAGAGACTGCGGTGGTTAGCAGCGTGGACGTATCCTCTTTACTCTTTTCTAAACTCCTCAAAACAGGCATGCATTATTCATTTTTGGATTCCTTACAGGCCTAGCCCGTCACAGACCCTCAATTCATATTTGTTGAACTGAAATCAAGTGAGGCTCATCATGTTCTCTCACAGGGTTCATCCTTCTTTCGGGGCAGAGAGTGCAAGGTCTGGGGCTGATAGGTCAAAATTAGAAGTCCAATCGGTGAGAAAACAGGAGGGGCACCCAACGGCTCTGACAGTTGTCCTAAGCAGTAACAGTCAGGATGAAGGACACTGGCTTTACCCCAGGCAAGCGGGGCCCGCACATCCACATTCTCTGCAGCCCAGCACAGAGCATATTCGAGAACTATTTGGTAAACACAGAGCTGACCTCCTCATCCCAGCACCCCTGCCACACACACAAACAACCCCCCCGCCTGGCAGAGAAAGAGTCTTGTCTACATTTTATGGAGCAATTTTTTTTCCTCCTCAGAGGCCCCCACGATGAGCTGTAGCTTTTCTTCTCAAGTTCCCAAACTGAACACAAAAATTAATAGTCTACCGAGAGTCCTAAGTGGCTGTTTGGGTCCTTGAAGGAGCAATAGCCCGGTGTGCCCCTGTCTCAGCACGCACCTCCCCCTCAGTCTGCAGGGAGGGAGGCGAAGATTTCACTAGGAAGCCAGGCAACGTCAGGTTATTAAAACCCAGGGCAGCAGCAATATTAATATGTGGGGGGAAAGTCCCAAATCATGGCAGGATTTGAGAGCCAAAGAGAAGCACCTACTCTTAGAAAGCGCTGTCACAATGACCAATTATTCATCTCCTGAATAAGAGAAAGACATGGATGAATCCCAAACCCAAATAAGAGTATTTTATCAGTTGTAACTCTACTTATCAGAGTGAACTTTTTTTTTTTTAAAAAAGATTGTATTTATTTATTTGACAGAGAGAGACACAGCGAGAGAGGGAACACAAACAGGGGGAGTAGGAGAGAAACAGGCTTCCCGCAGAGCAGAGAGCCCGATACAGGGCTCCATCCCAGGACCCTGGGATCATGACCTGAGCCGAAGGCAGACACTTAACGACTGAGCCACCCAGAGTGATCTTAACATAATCAGGGCACTGATATCAGTCCACCAAACAGAGGACTAATTAAATCCACTGGAAATCACCTGTCATTATACACTATCGAGAAAACAGGGAAACTTAAGAAATATTATTTACAATGCTTACCACATTAATTTCATACAGAAATATGTCTATATTCATGTGCAGCTCATCAGATATAGTTCAAACTTATTATCGAGTTACTTGGGAAAAAAACATGCCCTGTAACTGCTAAAACTAGGCTGAAATTCATTCTCTCTAGCTTCCGGTAAATTCCAAGCATTTCAAGGGAAACTTACTGGAATTTCAGTAGCACATTGAAGTTAAAGGATATCATTGAACTTATTTACACACCGAGTCCATATTCCTTGCCATATTTTAAAAACATACATTTTCCAAAAGGAAATAATGTACATCCAAATCACAATCATGATTCTCATTGAGATTTCTGAGGGCTTAAAGTAAAGTAATAAATGAGTTGAAGAAGGCTGGGAGGCATCTGCTACACTTTCTTTGTGAAAGCGGTACAAGAAAGATGATTCCACATCCTTCACGCAGGGTTCAGTGAAGCTCATTGTCATTATCTCCTTCACCTTCTTTGCCCCTTTCATGTGAGGACCACGTCTGATTCTTTTCCTAGGGAAAAACAGCTTCTCGCCATCTCAGAACACAAATTAGGGGTATGTCTGCATTAACTGTCTCTAGAAAAGTTACTGTTTCTGGAAGGAAATACCATGTTTGTGTTCATATAAATGGGATGTGCCTGTTTAGTACATATGATACTATGCTGATACTCCAGCCTCTCTCTTTCTCTCTCTCTCTTTCTCTCTCTCTCTCTCTCTCTCTCACACACACACACACAGCTTTACTGAGGTATAACTGCTATACAAAAAATTGCACACATTTAAGTTTGCTCCAACTTATTTTCTGATGAACAATTCTCTTTCCTGAATTCTTTTGTTAAAGTACATCTTTACTGCATTCTACCAGAAATAGAAAGCTATGGTTCTTCACAGATAAGGTTTAGACAATGCCACACCCTACTTTGAAGAATAACTTCTAAAACTTTACTTAGTGTGACATCTAGTGCCCAGAATAAGTAAGTAATAATATGGAGTTGTTGCCTTTTGACTGTGAGTGACTCATTCTCAGAGATATTGATTAGGTTTTACCAGTAACGGGGGGAAAAAAAAACCTAACAAATACGAATAATACTCTAATGTATAATTCATGGATTCTTTATACATCATCACGAACCCTAAGTATCCTCAAAGTAATGAAACTCCTCCAAATTCCACGGCTCTAAAAGTAGGCTATCCTTTATGCCTTGACTTATTGCACAGAAATAGGTGAATATTGCAAAGAAGATAAGAACGCTGTACAAATGCTGTGAAACTGTACCATTTTAAAGCAAATGTTAAATGACTGGCTGGTGTTTAATTTCTCACCTAAACTCTAGTGGGAAACATCCTTAACTTAGGAGTCAGGAGGCTTGTGGAGGAATTTGGGTTCCGTCATTTGTTAGCTGTGTGATCTTCGCGAGTTACTTCACCTCTCTGAGTCTCTACTGTTGTGTCTTCCCTGAAAGGAGGATTATAACATCTATCTCCCAGGGTCCTACAAGGTCAGGAGAAATATGTGAAACCCTTGGTCCTGGCCAACATTTATTGAACAGTTACTATGTCCCAGGCATTGGACTAAATATTTTTAGTCTAGTAAATTATCTCATTTAGTCTTCTCATTATGAGGTAAGGGATATTATTATTCCCATTTCACAGTGGAGAAAATGGAGATCTGGTGACATGTAATCGTCTGCCGAAGGTCGCAAAGCCAATAAGGGGCAGAGGCAGGATTTGAAGCCAATCCTAACTCTAGAATTTACACACTTAGTCGCTATGTCATATTTAGAAAGTTTTATATGCCATTTACAGTTGATAAAATGTCATTTTAGTCCCATTTCTATAACTGCTTAGAAATCAGATCCTTGATCAGGAGCTTTCTTATTTTTAAAACACTGGCTTAGGCTAAAATTACTTGACTTACCTTACCTTGACTAGAGAGCAAGGTGAAGGTCACCTCCGGAATGGAAACTTCCTCTAATCCTGCCCCTTTTAGCCAGGTCTTGGGTCGGCATAATGTGATGTTTTTGGGATCACCCCCATGCTGTGCAGGCACAGATCCTAAGACACGGTGTGGTGTTATCTTATACATCCAGTTTCATTTTTTTTTCTCCAAAAAGCACTGCGATATCACCAAGCCATTATTTTGTGAGTCCACCAAGATCAAAACCCAAGATCAAAACAAATTAAAAAATAATTTGTTGGTGGTGGGAGGGTCTCTCTGTCCAAGTGGTACCTTAGGGAAGCAACAGCAGTTCTCTGTATCACCCTGGATGACTGGCTAGCGCTAGGAGTACTTTCTACTGGTCCCCTACAGTAAAGCATCTATAAGTAGGGCATCAGCTAGCTCATCCAGAGGGCTCTCTCTCCACTTTAATTTTTTAAATATTTTTTATTTTAATTTTATTTTTTTAATTTAAATTCAGTTAGTTAACATATAATATATTACTGGTTTCAAAAGGTAGAGGTCAGTGATTCATCAGTTTTATATAATACCCAGTGCTCATTATATTACATGCCCTCCTCAATGTCCATCATCCAGTTACCCCACCTCCCCACCCCACTCCCCTCCAGAAAACCTCAGTTTGTTTTCTATGATCAAGAGTCTCTTATGGTTTGTTTCCCTCTCTGATTTCGTCTTCCCTATGATCCTCTGTTTTGTTTCTTAAATTCACATATGAGTGAGATCATATAATTGTCTTTCTCTGATTGACTGATTTTGCTTAGCATAATACCCTCTAATTCCATCCATGTCATTGCAAATACTTTAATTTTTAATATAATGTTTCTTTCATTTCATTTTCTTTAAAAAATGGATATATAAAAAAGAAACTAAAAAAATCTTATAATCTCACTTTCCTGATATAGCTGGTTGATTTTTATTTTATTTTATTTTTTTAAAGATTTTATCCATTTATTTAGAGAGAGAGAGAGAGAGAGAGTATGTGTGAGTGGGGAAGGGGCAAAGGGAGAGGGAGAGAGAATCCCAAACAGACTGCAGGCTGAGCATAGAGACTGACGTGGGGCTCCAACCCATGACCCTGAGATCATGACCTGAGCTGAGATCAAGAGTCAAACACGCAACCTACTGAGACCCAGGTGTTCCCTGTGGAAATACTTAAGACCTGGAAAAACATATTGCTTCTAAAAGACAAAAAGGAAAATTATATGCAAACAATGAATCCTGGAACACTACATCAAAAACAAATGATGTAATGTATGGTGATTAACATAACATAATAAAATAAAATAAAATAAAAAGAAATAAAAAAATAGTGTTAAAAAAAGAAATGAATCAATATTTACTTAAATGTACTCAAAATGTGATATTAGGTCAACTGGCCCACTGTAGTTCAAATGAATTCAACTCTTACACAGTTATACGTAAATTACATATTTAATGAGGCACACGGCTACGTTTCATTATATCTACTGTGATGAAGAGGGCCTTCAAAAGGAAAAGTGCTTGGCACTCTTAAAAGACTCTGACTCTGCCTTCCTCCCCATCCCCCCCAACCCCCCATTTCCTTTCCCAAGGCCCAGTTCTGCTTCCCAATCTTTGACTCTCCTGCAAGGCTTCCTCCTGAGAGCACTTCACAGAGAGACTCCCACACCCTAATCTCTGCTTGGGTCTCTCCTGGGC